TGTGTGTGTGTGTGTGTGTGTGTGTGTGTGTGTGTGTGTGTGTGTGTACCTGGAGGCAGGCCTGCTGTGGGGGCAGATTGGTGCCCCCTCCCACAGTACCCAGTTCAATAGAGGGCATAGTGCAGCTGATGTACAGGTCTTCCCCTGTCGGTCCTGAAGACTCCATGAGTGTGATGCAGTTACTGCTACCAACAGACTGAGCTGGATCCTGGAGAACACACCTTCATGTATCATTCTTTAAGCTCACTGACATCATGCGAAACAAATCCACAAAAATAACTTTACCTGTCCACATGCGATGTAGATGGCAGCCACCAAATTGGCTGCATGTGCATTAAAGCCACCGATGCTTCCTGCCATGGCTGAGCCAACCAGGTTTTTCTGGATGTTGACATCGACCAGAGCCTCCGTTGATGTCTTTAAGACCTAATCCACCGGGACAGAGATGAGACATGAGTCACTGTCACTGACACCCTGTTTCTACAATAACGCCTGTTTCTCATTCCTATCAACTGTTGATTTCATATGAAAGTGTTACAAACTTTCCTCATTCAGAAAAGGGTGGATTGCTCTTTTCAGGACGAGGGTGAGGTTCTGTCTCAAGTGGAGGAGTTCAAGTATATCTGGGTTTTGTTCATGAGTGAGGGAAGAATGGAGCCTGAAACTGACAGAAGGATTGGTGCAGCATCTGCAGTATTGTGGACTCTGAGCTGGTCCATTGTGGTGAAGAGGGAGCTGAGCTGTAAAGCAAAGCTCTCTGTTTACCAGTCAGTCTACGTCCCTACCCTCACCTATGGTCACGAGCTCTGGGTAGTGACAGAAAGAATGAGATCGTGGATACAGGCAGTTGAAATGAGTTTCCTCTGCAGGGTAGCTGGACTCTCCCTTAGAGATAGGGTGAGAAGTTCAGTTATCAGGAGAGACTCGGAGTAGAACAGCTTCTCCTCCACATCGAGAGGAGCCAGTTGAGGTGGTTCGAGCATCTGGTAAGGATGCTTCCTGTGGGCGTATCCCTAGGGAGGTGCTTCGGGCATGTCTGACTGGGAGGAGACCCTGGGGGAGACCCAGGACACGCTGGAGAGACTATGTCTCTCGGTTGGCCTGGGAACACCTTGGAATCCTCCCAGAAGAGCTGGAAGAGGTGGCTGTGGAAAGTGATGTCTGGACCTCCATGCTCAAGATGCTGCCCCCGAGACCTGACTTCAGAACGATGGATGGAACGATCAATGGATGGAACGATTGGGTGGATGGATAGATGGATGGATGGACTTTGAAAAAATGATTCACATGTTGATTTCCTTCAGTCTTGACTGTCATAACAGCTGTTATTTTTCAGTCACAGTCTGCTCTCTTGCTGTACAAAATACTGCAACTCGACTCCTTACAGGCAAACACGAGATAATCACATGTCACCTGTCCTGGTTCTCAGCATTGGCTCCCCATTAAGTTTTTTTTTTTCCTTTATGATCTCAGATATTAAGAAAAGTCACAATATGAAAGACATGGACATTGTGTCTAATGCCTGAGTTGGGGGGTGGAAGGGTTAGAAATGCAGACTCTTCCTACCTCCCGGACCACCTTTGCTGGGATAGTGGCCTCGCAGACAGCAGACTTGCCCCTCCCATCAATCCAGTTGATGGCAGCTGGTTTCTTGTCTGTGCAGTAGTTTCCACTTACTGCAACAATCTGCAGCTCAGGGAAGTGATGCTGCAGTCGGTGAAGAGCCTGCTCCGTGCCCTGCAGAAAAATCAGGAAGTCAACACCAGAACTTCAATGCATCAAACACTTCTGCACCGTGCTGCAACTGTTCGAGTCCAGTTCAGCCACTAATGACCAACAAACTGTGAGAAAGGAGGAAAACCTTTTGCTACAGCCTGACTGTGTTTGGAACCAAGCAAGACCATCATTGTTTGAAAATTACTGTGTTTCTGTGCGGGGGAGTGGTAGCACAGCGGTTAAAGAAGGCACGCGTTTCAAACCCCCGACCGTATCCCTGATCAAAATTTGAGTGGAAAAGGTTTGGCACCCACACCTGCCTCCACCCTCATTTGCCTTACTCTAGGCACTTGAACAAGGTCTTTAACCCTCATGTATCCTAGATGGCAGCCCTCTGGTCCACAAAGAGGGCTGTGGTAGCTTTGTCGTTGCTTCAGGAAGAGCATCCAACATAAAACAATCGCCAAATTTTCATGCAAGTTGCTCACTGTGGCGACCAGATGCGCAGCTAGACTTTTTAGCAAGGAGTGTTATTTTAGAAGGCACAAATAAAGAAAACTACCGTACTCTGTTTCTCCAACCTATTAGCTAACAAACACCCATGTGACAATTTTCATAAGCCATAAGCATCTCTCTGTGTCTGTCTCTCTGTGTCTATCTGAGTCTGTCTGTGTGTGTCTGTGTGTGTCTGTGTGTATCTGTGTGTTACATGTCAAATTTTGAAAAAAAAATGAAAGTTTCTTTATTCAAACTGTCTTGACAGCAACACCAGTTTGGTCAGATTTGTAGATTCAGGACATCATGATTATTGTTACCGGTATTATTTTCTTCTTTCGGCTGCTCTCTTCTTCAGGGGTCACCACAGCGAACTAACTCAGACGAAGACTTGGTGATTGCTTGGTGAAACCAGATGCCCTTCCTGACGCAACCACAGACCACCAAGCTACCACAGCCCTCTGTGTGGAGCAGAGAGCTGCTCTCTAGAGCATCTGAGGGAGCAGATGGTGGGGGTTAAGGGCCTTGCTCAAGAGCCCAGAGTGGAGCAAATGAGGGTGGAGGCAGGTGTGTGTGTTTCACCTTTCCCACCCAAATTTTGAAGTTGTCCATCCAGGGAGTCAAATCAGCTTCCAATCACCGGCCCACCCTTTCTAATCTTTGTGCCACCACTCCCCCAGATTCAGGACAACATTATTCACCCTCAAAATCCCACAAGAAGCTGAATTTAACATTAGCACAGTCACAGAACTCTCTCTTCACAGTGCTCTCTCTTCATTAGAATGAAAGCCACCCTTCAATTAGCCACAGGCAGTATGGAATCAGAGAAAATGTTCAGCCTTCTCCCATTGTGTGGCACTGAAGACCTCTTCGGCACAGAGTAGAACAGTAGTCCTGGTTTGCAACTTGGTCACCCCAAAGATCATCAGTTGTGGAGGTTCGCTGTCCCTTGATTTAGCACATAAAGTACAGTGGGCTCTGTCCAGGATGAGCTTCTCCTCAATCCCAAAATGTTGTTTTTTAAGAAATTTGGTTATTAACTCTTTAGACCGTGGACCATTTGAGCACCACCAGCAGGCCTAAAAGTTGGATCTTACTCTGGATAATGCCATATGTCGTCATTACCCAGTACCAAAATATTCGGGGGAGTGGTGGCGCAGAGGTTAGAGAGGTGGGCCTGTGATCCGAAGATCGCCGGTTCACGCCCCGGCCCCGACAACATCAAAATTGTGGGTGGGGTAGGTGAAACACCCACACTTGCCCCCACCCTCTTTCGCCCCACTCTGGGCCCATGAGCAAGGCCCTTAACCCCCACTATCTGCTCCCTAAACAGGTCTCTCTTGAAAATTAGTTCCCGTGGCTCAATGAGACTAACCTGGATAAATAAAGGCTAAATGAAAAAAAAAATTCCTTCCATTGCTTGACGACATCACTGGTTGAAGTCAATAGTGGTTGAACCTCTGTCAGAGATGGGAGTTGAAGATCTTTCTAACAGGTTCTTCTGCCAAGCGTTCCCAGCAAACTCTTACTATACATTTTGGTCTACAGATTCTTTATAGCATCTTCCACCACTGTCTGTTCCAAATCACCACGAGGTGATGATCAGTTGACAACTCTGCTCCTTCCTGTCTTCTGCTGTGTCCAAGACATAGGGCTGCAGTATAAATGACAAGACTACAAAGTCTATCATTGACCCACGGCTAGGGCTTTAACAGACTACTTGAGTAATCTACACATCGATTCCTAGGACATCTATCGAGGTTTTTAATTTCACGTCGAGTATTCGTGGTGACGTCATTACGCCGCCGTTACGTCATTGCGTCACGTGTCACATGATCCGCATTGGCGCGGGTTACAAAATGGATTCCTCCAAGCAGACGGATGGAGCAGAGCAGGCCCAGTCTTGACAAACAGGTAGAAATGCATCAATAGTCTGGAAATATTTCACTAAAGATGAATCTTCTGGTTCAACTACCGTAAGGAAACAGAAAATGAAACAACTTCCTGACTGTTTGGAGCTCGTTGCGAACCAGTGTTACACCATATTTTGTGACAGTAGGGGGCGGTGTTGCATGCACTGTTGCCGGTCACTGAATATGGTGTAACACCGTGTCCAATCGACCCAACCAGAACCAGCTTCTGACCTTGTTTCACAAACAAAAAGCAAAAAAATTCATCTCTAAACCTATTAAAAAAAAAATCTACAAACATATTAATCTCTAAAACTAAACTTAATGCGCACCACAGCTGGCAGTGGTGCGGGGTGGGACCCCCACTGTTTTTAGTTTCGCTTTTGACATGCTGCACATTTCTTCACTTTTGCAGTTTAATAATAATAACTAATAGTTTAGTTTTTCCCGTGACTGATTTGCTGTATGATAAATGGTAGGGGCATAATATATGCTCCCAATGTTTTGTTGGTCTTTTTTTGGTAAATAATGACCTTTTTTGCGGTTTTATTTATTTATTTATTTTTGTATCTTTAGATCCTATGATGTCATCAAGTACTTGAGTTCTACTAGAGTTTTATTACGTTAATGTCGAGTTTAAAAATTATGTAGTCGTTCAACCCCTACCCACGGCCTAGGGTGTCCTGGTGCCATTTGCACTCATGGACACCCCCTGTATTCAAACATTGTGTGACTAGAACAGAAGTTGAAAAACAGAACACTACTTTGATTCAGATCAGAGAGACTGTTCCTCTCAATCATGCCCCTCTAGGTTACCCAAGGGGATACACTGATGCCCTTCAGTAAGACAATGAAGTCTCTAGCATGAGCACTTCCCAGCACCCCTGCTATGGACTCCAAAGAGCTGGGACATAGGCACAAACAACAGTTTGAGCCTCTCCCCCCCACCCGAATGCTCTGGGAAGTGACCCACACATATACGGAGGAAAACTCAACACACAGGCACCAAGCTGGGGTGGGTGGGTTATTATTATTATTATTATTTTTATTACTTTATTTTACCAGGAAGAAATCCATTGAGATCATCAATCTCTTTTACAAGGATGTCCTGGACAATATGCAAATACAGCAACACAGTCTTAAAAACAATAACAATAGTATTAAAATATTTACAACAAAACATCCATTAGTAAAACATAAAATGCAATGCAAGTAAAAAAAAATAAAAAAAAATTAGGCCCACACCAGTCCGATACGTCTCACGATGGGCAACTCAAAAGTAGAATTAGGTCCAGCCTCTCAAATATATTGTCTCCAGAGCCTCACTGTATCTAATCCAACAAATTTTCTATCATGGTAATTCACACGTCATCACGAGTGTCTTAGGCTCACCTCAAAAGCACAATACTTCACTTCACAATACGTCACTTCAGCACTTGCTCTTGTCAAGGGCGGAAGGCCTTTCCCCTCCTCTCCCTCTCCACTTTACTTTGCTCTGTACTGTCTGTGAAACTGCTTCAGAACCTCTCTTCTACAAATCTTCCAAATCGTAATTCTACTATGGATTTGGTCAGTTGGTCCCTCAACATAATTGATAACATTTCTTTGTAGAGAAGACAGGCTTTAGGCGAGCCAATTTGCCCTGTTGGCACACACGCAGCTGGATGTCTCATCGACTTGGAAGACTTTATGAAGTGTCTATCTCTGCTGTCAATCGAAGATGTTACGGGTGCATATATAATTGGCTTTATGATAACTGGTTTCCTGCTTTTTTGATTTGGCTGGTTCCTGGTCTATCAATAAACAAGAAAGTCGTTGGCAGCAAATTTGGCTCTAGTCAAGCTGCCTGCCTTATGTGATGGCTTGGTTCGTGCTTCGAGTATCCAGACTCAATTTATTTTGGCAGGATGGATCAGATCTAGGGGAATACTCTCAGGCATGGTCTAGTGGTGTGGCCATTTAATTTGGACGTTTCGGAACCGAGAGGACCGACACAGACTCGAGGTAGACATAATCAGTAAAGCTCTGCCTGTGCCCAAAACAATCATGTTTATTTGAATTCAGCTCCCAGACTGGCCTTGACAGGCCACCTTATCTTAATTCGCCTGGAAGCTCTGTAAACCTTGATGCTCTGACACCCCACCCACCCCCCCACCCCCCACCCCCCACCCCACCTCCCACCGAGGAAGTCTACGGACCAATCAGAGGGGCCCAGCTGAATAAACATTCTGTCATCATTTCAGAATTCTTTGTATTCTATCTGACGTCCTCCTTGGCCATCCTTGGCACCCCCTGAGAGTGTACAGATCTCTCCAGAGGGAACTATGTGAACTGAGCGATTATACCACGCTTATCAGAACTCTGCAGTGCCTCTGTGAGTTGTCTCTGGACATCAATCAATCAACCTTGACATGCTCATCGCCCTTGCGTCCCCCTCGCGCCCCCCCCCCCCCCCCCCCCCCCCCCCCACACACACAGAATGTCAGTGTTATGTGCTTGTGTGCAAGGTTTATTTCATTTTCAGGCTATTAATCTTCAGCCAAAGATTAAGAGCATGTTAGGATTTTTTTGCCGAAACAGATCTCACTTGTAAATGAGTCTTCGAGGATCAATGCGATTTATCTGTTTAAATAAAGGTTGAATGAAAAAACAAAACTGTATTCTGACTCTTGCACAGGATCTCTCCTCTGATGTCTCATCAATCAGTCCCAAACAGTTGTTGCCCAGTGAGATACTACCTTCAAATTATTGGGCTGAGGATGAAAGCCTTTTGTCCCAATTGGAAGATGACTTCCCTACCAAGCTGGACTAAATTTATGTCCCAAGTCTTTAGAGCTTAGAGCTAGAGAATCTTAGCCCAACTACAGTATGAAAACCACATTTTGAAGGGTACCTTAGAGATCATATTCATCCCCATGGCGTCTCCAGTTCTGGAGTGGAAACGAATGTAAAGATTTCTCCCAGCCAGACCAACCAGCAGCTTCTGGAGCCGAGCGAACCTGCCAAAGCACCACCATGTTGAATTTTATACAAGATAAGAACCAAAAGAGTTGCAACTAGGTATGTGCTTTCAAAAGGTCTGTTTGCAGCAAAACTTTACAATTTACCTGCTGGTGTTGTCAAAAGCATCTTTGATGTCCTGAAAACCATCTGGACTCTCGAGCCAGGCTTTGACCTCAGCAGCCCTGCAGGCTGAGGGGAGCCTAACAACAGGTCCACGGGTCATGCTGTCGGCTAGAACACGACTGCTGGCTCCGCCACCCAGCTACAGCAAGCAGACCATAAAAAAGAAATATGAACTAGTGTTAGATGATGTGATCAAAGGAAATAACAAATGTCTCACAAAGAAATAGACATTTTACTAAAGCTTAAGAGAAATTCATTGGATGTACATCTACAACTGATTAACTTTTGGTGTCACCTCAATTCAAAATGGACACCACAGCCAACTGATCTTAATCTCCCCCAAAAATAGCTATAAATCTGTCGGTTTTATCAATGTTGACCTAAAATATGATATGGTAGTAGCTGCAAGTCACCACAACGCTTATAGTGAACACTTACTGATTGCTCAAGACAATTGTTTAAAACCATAATTCTGTCAATTTTATCTTCCTGATGAATCTTCCTGCGCTCCGTCCCCCCGGCTTCCCTGCTTGCACTCTTTCGTCTTGTGAACCCTTAAAGAGCCTCATCTGGACAATGGCTGAGAGGGGGGCTCTGGACTATGCTACGACCTTCCCTTAAAATTCAATGTCTTCACCGCCTATATGTACATGTATAACGTCTGTTTATGTTGCTTTGCCGTGGTAGGTTTTTTTGATGCCTCAAATCGTGCCCTGTCTAGGACAAGGTGTGAGAGATCTTTTTTTTTCTACCGTCTCTCCTCATGTTTTCTTCCCTTTTCTCATCTAAGCAAAAATATTAATATGAGGAAGAATAAGAGGGCCGCGCTAATTAGCAGCAGCTTTGTGCACTTTGTCCATCTTTCAGATGGCTGTACATGTTCTCGCTGTATCTCGGTGCAATGATAATAAAGCTTATTCTGATTCTACCGACGACGGGACCTCTGCCAAGGATGTGAACAAATTTTTTTTCTGGATGTAAATCTCTTTTTTTTAATGATTGTTTTCTCTGGTATCGGATGCTGTGAATCTGGAAGGATTTTTACTGAAACCTCTTTGTTTTTGGACATATGTTATGATGTGTAGCCATGGCAACAATGTGTTTTTTTTAACAACTAGGAGCAGCTGATTAAGATCACAAAAGCTCAGATATTACCTCATCTACAGCCCCAAAGCCCAAATGAGTTGAAAAGGAGGCACCGTGGATATGTATTCCCATCTACCTGGCAGAGGTGCTCAAGTGCCTGATTGCCGAGATCCTGTAGCTGGCGGGAAACGCGGCTTGTGACAATTAAAAGACCAGGATCATCCCCCGAAACCTGCAGTTGGCTGTCCGCAACAACGAGGGGCTCAACAAGCTGATGGGAGGAGTGACCATCACTCGAGGAGGAGTTCTGCCTGGCATTCAGATGGTCCTGCTCTGTGGTCCTTCTGCCCAGTAGGACCAAGAGGACTGCCATGTCCGGGTGGATGGATCAGCATCTATGGCCATATTATTCAGATTCGCTGTGGGATGGACCGCTGCAGGGATTCTTCCTGCCCACAGCCATCAGAATCTAGAACAACTCTTAAATTAATCCAGGATAATGAGCTACAAGAACACTTGATTTATTTTTGGGATTAATAAAGTATTTTTGAATTGAATGGTTTTTGGAGTCCGTCTTCTGGACGGACCGTTTAAAAAAAAAAAAATCCATCCAGAGGACCTGACTTAACTTTGGTGCATTTTTTCTACCTGGATTATTGAGCAGCATCAGGACATTCTTATGTATCTTTAGCTGTGTGTTTTGGATCATTATCCCGTTGGAAGACACGCAATCTATGACTGAGACTAAGGTTTGTGTCACTGGGCAGCCTATTTTGTTCAGAATGCTTTGATAGTCTTGAAATTTTTTAACCCTGCACAGATTCAAGGCACCCTGTGCTAGATGCAGCAAAGCAGCCCCAGAACAGAACAGAGCCTCCTCCATGTTTCCCTGTAGGCAGGGGTGATTCTAGATTCTGACCTTTAGGGGTGATGAGCCCCCAGTTCGGACAATGGCTCTCGGCTTGAACAACACAGTTGTCAATGGTGTCAGAAGCATTTGTAAAGTTGGGGGGGTGGGGGGGGGGGTACTGGTGGGGGGGTCTGAAGGTCCTCCCTCTGAAAATTTTTAATAAAGTAGATGCAATTTCCTGGATTCTGTTGTATTTTAATGGGTTGTTAAACATCTACATTTACTTACATAAGTAAACACTTGATTCAATAACTATTTTAGAGAACAACAAGACGTAGCCTGACAAACAGCTCTCCTTGTGTGAATAGAGCACGCTCCAATTCTCTCATGCATCCTAACCCTGAGCTAATTGTACTGCTCATGAGGTCGCCCGCTGGCCTTCATCCATCTTTTATGATTTTTCCAAACTTCATTTAGTTGTTAAATGGAATAAACTTCCACTCTCTGAACACTCAGGGTAACACAGTTTGAATTACATGTTCTCCACTGGCAATGTTTATTCATTTTTCTGATGATTTTTCATGACTGACTGCAAAGCATCCATAAAGCAAAACACTGACAATGTTGTCGGAGGAAAAGGGGGTGGAGCTCCTGCAGGAAAGGGGTGTTTACCTTCAGGACAAATTGAAATTGCTAATTGGTCAGTTGCTAACGAGCCTACTGGATTGATTGACAAGTGGCATTGAGGATCCGACTAGTGCAAAAAAAATCATAGATTTCACTGGCCCGTTTAAGACCGTCATCATTTATTCCATATTTATTCCAAGTTTATTCAATATTTTGGTGAATCTAAGGTTTGAGAACGGTTTCCTTACAAAATCCTAATGATGGTTTCTTTATTTTTCAGGGTTTATGAGTTAAAATTTAAAAGAGGCTAACATCTCCACTGCATACCACATTTACCTCAATCTCTGTAAAACTCAGTTATAGCCATTTTTGTGTTTGCAAAGATTGCTTTGTTGTGGTGGCCATCTTGATTTGGGCTGTTTCCATAAAAAGTAACAACTAAGATACTTCACAGAACCTTCAAGCTTCTAGTGCTCTGGTATAAGAATCAAACTTTTTTTGTTAAAAAAAATATATATATAAAGTAGCTTAATGTGTTTTTTGTATTAGAATTAGAAAAATTGAGACAGGTTTTTGTATTATAATTAGAAAAAATAAAAAGAGTTATTCATTTTGTTCTGTTACTTGAAAATTATTGTGATTGAACTAATTGTGTGGAAAAAAAGGGGCAGATATAATAAGATTTTTTCTTCTTCTGCTGCCTTTCATTTTAAATCTCTTGTATTTTTTATATTGTTATGAAATTGTTTTGTATTTTTTAAAATGAATAAACTTTATACCATACCATAAACTTGAAACTAAGCTTGGGTCTGTTATGTGAACAGAGTTCCCGAACTCTAATTTTACTACTAAAACTGATGATTGCCGTGGTTCTTTATAGCTGCTGTTTCTGAAGATAAATACTACTTCAAGCTCCTCCAAGCTGCCAGTTTGTGACAAAATACAAAAGAGCAGTTTGAGATTCTTCTTGAAGTTCACAAAAATGCTTCTTAAGGTTTCTGCCTCTTTGATACTGTTATGATGTTGGTACGTTGAAAAGTGGAACTGCAGAGTGATGTATATCCACACCTAATTGGAGGAAAATGTAAGGCCTAATAATTTTCTAGACATACATTTATTGTAGAACAACCATCAGAAAGCTCTATGACTGGAAGATGTTATCATAGTGTTGTGTAAGACATGTTTCAGATGTTTTCAACAACTCACTGCGATTGCTCGGCAGCCACGGTTTGTGCTTGCAACAAGACAACCTTCTGTTGTTGCCAGGGGAACCTGAAACTGTTTACCATCCAGGTGTAGTGGTCCAGCCACACCCACAGGGACTGGAATGTAACCAATCACGTTCTCACAGCAGGTGCCCAGAACCTGAAAATAACCATGATGAAAAAGGAAGTCCAGAGTTGGGAGCTGGAGTTTCAGACAAATGTTTTCTCATCTTTGACTCCAAACAATAAAATATTCAATATACTTCTGTACTTGAAGACATTTCACTTCCCATACAGGGAGCGTTCCTCCTAAAAAACTGAAATGTGCGGAGTTTCAATTTTTAAGATATTTATTTCTACTCCAGTACTCTACTGTAGGTACTAGTTAGAGTTAACAGAAACTCATCAACATAAAACATTGTTTTTGAACAATTTGGAGTGATTGTATAAGACATATACCAGTATGTATGTGTGTGTGTGTGTGTGTGTGTGTGTGTGTGTGTGTGTCCATCCATCCATTATCTTTACCCGCTTATTCCATTTTGGGTCACAGGGGTCGCTGGTGCCCATGTCCAGCAATCACTGTGCGAGGGGCGGGGTACACCCTGGACGGGTCTCAAGTCCATCACAGGGCCACATAGAGACAAACAACCATTCACTCTCTCACTCACACCTAGGGACAATTTAGAGTTACCAATCAGTCTAACATGCATGTTTTTGGTCTGTGGGAGGAAACCGGAGTACCCGGAGAAAACCCACGCATGCACGGAGAGAACATGCAAACTCCACCCAGAAAGGCCCCTGGACCGGGGTTTGAGCTAAAGACCTGCTCGCTGAGAGGCAGCAGCTCTACCAGTTGTGCCACCGTGCTGCCCGTGTGTATATGTATATAATTTAAAATTAGAATAAAAATTCAAATCTACCAGTAGTTCCCCTGAATTAGGACAACTGTTCTAAAACCAGTGTCCTCAACATTACATTGCAGGGTTCTCAGGAAGCAAATAGTTTAGTATAAATTTAAATATAGGAGATGACAAGCTTCAATAAATTTAATGACAGTGCTTTTCTAAATAAGTAATATCAACTGTAAATATATATAAATATTAAATAAAACTAAATCAGACTAATGTATAACCTAACTCCAGGATTGTTGTCTGATATAAAAATATATTTTACAAGGTTTTAAGTTGCCTTCATACCTATTCAAACATATATTTTGTGTGTGTTACTTATAATATTTAGACACTCTTTGATGGTTTGCAGAGGGACGGAGGGGTGCAGCGTGTTCTCTTTAGGAATGCTTTAATAAGTTTAGGAGTATTTCTGGCAGCAGAGCTTGGAAGTCACAGCGCTCAGTTGCCTGGGAAAGCATGTTTTCAAGGTCAGGTTATTGCCTTGGTTTTGTACAACATGTTTTTATGAGATACCGACTTTCTGTCTGTCCTTCTGATAACCATCAAACTTGTTTTTCACTGCTCTCACGCGATCCGGTCAGGGAGGGGTATTTAAGAAACACAAGTACTGTGACAGAGTTAGAAGTCTGCTGCGGACCAGCGCGCGGTGCCCAGCTGTTGGTGTGATTCCTGTCACTCGGGTCGAAGGCTTCCCGACCACGTGTCACGGTGAGGGGCTCTCATATCAATTTGTGTGTAAAGAGTGTACAAGTGTACATGTTTTGCTTGGCTGTTTTCTGTGGCAGATTAATAAATGACACTATTATTTCTAGCAGGACAGTCTCCTTGTTTTTATTTCCTCTCGTGTGAATTATTGGGGCCGACCGTTCACGAACCTTTGTTAAAGAAATTTCATAAAACACTGTCTTTGTCGATTATACTACCGGTATATGATAATGTGACAATGTATGACAACATAATGAATGCCAAATTCTGTTCTGGCTTATGGTTTTGGTGGACCAGCCCAGGATGGTCAGAGGCCACCCCAATAAAACATTTCTAGAAGAGCCACTAACCAGCATTACCTTTGAATAATCATAGTTGGTGTATGGCAGGGAGGAAAGTGCAGAAGGAGAGGAAAGCTTAGCAGAGATCATCTGTCGTCGTATGGACACTCCTCTCTCTGGTTTCTCCATCAGAGCCTCCAGTTTGTACGCAGGGACGTGTTTGGAAGCCACGAGGAGCATGATCTCAGCATCACTCAGATGATGGGGCCCCAGCTGTAGAGGACACAATCTTACTGTTTTATCTGCTTTGAGAGGTTAAGATTTTCATCAGTGGTTATGAGGTACAGGTAAACTCAACTTGTTTATATTTATACTAAACTAAGAACACGTAAAACTCACCTAACTAACTAGCACTCTGTTGAAAACTAACAGCAATACTAATAGAATAAACCAAGCAGTACGTGGACCTCAATGAGGGACTTGATTAGTGAATATATAAAGTTTTTCAGGACTAGAATTGAACTGGGGAATGCACGTAAACCTTAACATTTTTGGTGAAGGATATTCAAGTGGGTTACACTGTTTAGACCAGGGGTGTCCACACTTTTTCATCATGGGAGCGCCTTTTAAAATGACCAACTCAAAGTGATCTACCTACTTTAAGGCCCCGTTTACACGAGAACAACCTCTGGAAACGTTAGTGTTTTTTCAGTGTTTATTAGGGGTAATAAACAGAAAATGAGTGGGTTTACACGAAAACACTGTAGTTTCCATGTCAGTCGGGTTGCCAGATAATAAATCATGAACTATAATACTGTCGCTTTAAAATGGTAGACTGTACTTATATAGCGCCTTTCTATCTTATTTCAAGATAGTCAAAGCGCTTTACACTACAATCTGTGCTTCATTTACCCATTCATACAGCACTCTACTAGATCTCTACAAAACTAATTGAACAAATAATTCTAAAGAGACTAATCAGTGATTTCGATCACATTCATACACTGATGGGACACACATCAGAGGCTATGAGGGGTTCAGTGTCTTGCCCAGGGACACTTAAGCATGTGACTGCTGGTGGGTTCGAACCCCCAGCTCTCCCATTGGAGGACGACTGCTCTAACCACTCAGCCACAACTGCCCCAAAATTATATTTACCTAAACTGTCATATGTGCTGAGTAAAGATATTCCAAGATGAGGTGTGTGCTGTGTTTGTTCAACATGTGCACAGAAAAGGTGGGGGTAAATAAGACATTATAAATTTATCTGGCAACCCTGATGCAGGGCTCAGCTGCTTTTATTGTACATGCAGCGTCTGCATGACAGTTATGTCCAAACTGTTGAATACACCAACGTCTCTTTAGACTCTGGATTTTATTAGTTTTGCTGCAATATGATGAAAAAGGGTGAGCAGCGCAAAAACACTCTGCTCTCTGCCACCTGTTGTTATTTATTATAACTGTTGTTATTTATTATAACTGTTATCATTTATTATAACTGTTACTATTTATTATAACTGTTATTATTTATTATAACTGTTGTTATTTATTATAACTCTTGTTAGTGCTGAAATACATTAAGTGACCCACATCAAACAACCATCAACATCAACGATGACCCTCACCAGTACACATACTGCGAGAATTGATCAACAGAGGACGCCATCTCCTCTGTGGTCCACACTGCTCTCACCCACCTGGAGCAGAAGGACTCCTACGTCTGTATGATCTTTGTGGACTTCACATCTGCCTGCAATACCATAACCCCCCAAACCCTGATGGACAAACTACTCACACTAGGACTAAGCCCCTCCATTTGCAACTGGGTCCTAGACTTCTTAACAAACAGACCACAGTTTGTGAGGATCCACAACTTCTCCTCCTCCACCATAACCCTCAGCACTGGCTCACCTCAGGGATGTGTGCTGAGCCCTCTCCTGTTTACTCTGCTCACATCTAACTGTGCACCTACCCATCCAGGCTGTTTTATTGTAAAGTTTGCAGATGATACAGTGATGGTTGGATGCATCACAAACAACGAGTCCAGCTACAGGTAGGAGGTGGAACACCTGGAGAGCTGGTGCAAAGAGAATAACCTTCACATTAATGTGAAGAAGACGAAGGAGATGGTTGCAGACTTCAGAAGGAACACAACTACCCCCACCCCCACTGAACATAGGAGGATCTGAGGTGAAAGTGTTCAAACGAAGACAGAAGGTAAGGAAAAGGAATAGAAACACATTCAAGAAGCTCTTCAAACATGTGGATATCCTAACTGGGCTTTTGTCAAGTCAGTGAGGAAATCTACAAAACACACCAATAAACTGAAAAAGGAGAACAGCAGACGTAAAAACATTGTCATCCCTTATGTTGCTGGAGTATCAGAGAAATTCAGAAGGATCTTCAACAAACACAAGATCCCAGTACATTTCAAACCCAGCAGGACTCTCAGACAGAGGCTGGTCCACCCTAAGGACAAAACACCTATACACAAACAGAGTGGTGTAGTGTATGTGGTCCAGTGCAGCGAGGACTGTCCAGACCTCTACATTGGAGAAACTAAACAGCCTCTTCACAGAGGCATGGCTCAACACAGGAGAGCCAGCTCTACAGGACAAGACTCAGCTGTTCACCTCCACCTCACAGATAAGGGACACTCTTTTGAGGACCAAAATGTGCACATTTTGGACCGAGAACACAGATGGTTTGAGAGGGGGTGAAGGAAGCAATTTATGTAAAAAGAGAAAAGCCGTCTCTTAACAGAGGAGGAGGCCTCAGATTTCCACTTTCAAAAACCTATAATGCAACTTTAAAACGGATTCCCAGCCGGTTTTCACACCTGATGGAAACAGAGGGGCCTCGTCTGTGAATAAGAGGAACAAAAGACTCTTACTGTTAAGGTTGTTTAGGTGTGAATTGCCAATCTACATATGTGTGTGTGTGTCTTATCTCACTCAGCCTTATAACCTGAATCTCTCACTCTCTGCTCTTTGAATTGAGAAAGCTCCTCGGATGAGGAGCGAAACGTCTTCGGTTACAAATAAAGTCCAGTTGTTTTTGTATTGAACGCTTTTTGACTAGTGCTTAGTGTTTTCTTAGTTTAGCGTATTTCTTAGTTCATATCTTAGAACTTATTGCTGTTTTACTCTACAATTTATATTTTTGTTGGATGTAACAGGGACCCTGTTTACATAATGTCATTCCACCACATGACACAAAGAAACTCTGACTTTGACTGCAGCCGCCTGTAGTGTGCATGTGCAACTTCAAACTTGGATCATTTCATATCTCCGTGGAGGGGTTCCCCCAAAAATCTCCTCTCTGAGACCTGGATTCAGAAACCTTTGGTTTCAGAGAGAACGAGGGCTGTTGTCTGTAAATGAACGGATGTTTGACGTCGTGTAAACAGGGCCTCAGACTGGCTGCCCCGTCTGTCAATCAGGAGACAAATTTCATAGATGGATGATAGACTGACGTTTAATTTTTAATGTCATGAGTTCTACCCATAATACCTTTGAGATGGACTGGTAGATCACCATCAACATATTGGACAACCCTGCTTATTTGCTTAGTTAAATTCCAGTGATGACCTTTTGTTGACCAGGCATAGTTTCCCTCAGCTACTCTGTCTTACCTTTTCATACTCACCTGTCTGCCATTGTAATCGACACGTCTGCATTCAGCAATCAGCTTCCCAGTACTTTAACTCCAGTTTTTGTTTCAGAAAAGCTTAATTTGCCCACCAGTAGTGATGACTCACCTCAGGATTTTTAAAGATGGACACACATTCATCCAATCCTCTGGGTCTCTTAGGGAAACTGGGCTCAGTGACCTCAGACTTTCTCTCTTCTATTTCTTCTTCTTCTCCAATAACAAACAAGGTCTTTTGCTCAGTGGTGAGGGCTGGAAACGGCCGAATAACTTCATCTATGGAAACAAGGCAGAGCTGGAAATCACAAAGCTGCAGGAGTTTATTAGCTCCAAACTCATCATTGGAGACACACACACCTCTCTCTGCCCTGCAGGTAGAGGCAGAAGCTGAGAATTTGCGGTCAGCTGGCTCCCTGATGCAGCAGGTCTCCACGTGGAGCAGGTTTGGGGTTCGGGGAGCCAGAGAGATGGGACTCTTCAAGGACAGCACAGACTCCGTCTCAGACTGCTCAAAGAAGATGTACTTGACAGCTAGCAGCAGGGCGAGGAACAGACAGATCACCTGCTCCAAGTCCATAGTGATCATTCTGCAGGGCAACATACACAGATTTAGATTTTTATAAGATGACAGAAACTACCAGACAGAAGTTATTTCAGCCAGATACATGAAGTGATTTTTCACTCATTGGGAAAGTTATTTGAACCTCAGGGTACACTGTGTGTGTGTGTGTGTGTGTGTGTGTGTGTGTGGGGGGGGGGGGGCTCCGTGAGTATGGGATTGGGTCTTCGTTGTTACGGGCTGTTCCGTCTCTATACAAACGGTGCGAGTTTGGTTCTCGTTACCATTAGTAAGTTGGACCATTCAGGGTGGGGATTCTGTTCATAACTTTTATGGACAGAATTTCTCGATGTAGCCATGGGGAGGAGGGAGTCCAGGTCAGTGGCCTCAGGATTCCATCTCTGCTCTTTGCAGATGATGTGGTCCTGTTGACGTCATCATGCCGTGATCTTCAGCTCTCACTTCAGCAGTTCACAGCTGAGTGTGATGCATCTGGGATGAGAATCAGCACCTCCAAATCTGAGGCCATGGTCCTCAGTCAGAAAAGGGTGGATTTCTCTCTTCAGGTCGAGGGTGAGGTTCTGTCTAAAGTGGAGGACTTCAAGTATCTCTGGGTTTTGTTCACGAGTGAGGGAAGAATGGCGCATGAGATTGATAGACGAATTGGTGCAGCGTCTGCAGTATTGCGGACTCTGTGCCGGTCCACTGTGATGAAGAGTGAGATGAGCTGTAAGGCAAAGCTCTCTGTTTACCAGTCAGTCTAAGTTCCTACCCTCACCTATGGTCACAAGCTCTGTGTAGTGACTGAAAGAATGAGATCGTGGATACCTCTGCAGGGTAGCTGGACTCTCCCTTAGAGATAGGGTGAGAAGTGCAATTATCAGGAGAGACTCAGAGTAGAGCCACTGCTCCTCCACATCGAGAGGAGCCAGTTGAGGTGGTCCATCTGGTCAGAATGCTCCCTGGGTGCCTCCCTAGGGAGGTGCTTCAGGCATATCCAACTGGGAGGAGACCCCAGGGAAGTCCCAGGACAACTGAGGGACTATGTCTCTCAGAGAGACGTAGTCCCTCAGTTGTCCTGGGAACACCTTGGAGTCCTCCCAGAAGAGCTAGAAGAGAAGGCTGTGGAAAGAGATGTCTGGACCACCCTGCTCAAGCTGCTGCCCTGAGACATGACTTAAGAACAAGAGGAAGATGATGGATGGATGGATGGATGGATGGATGGATGGATGGATGGATGGAT